AGGCCGGGCGGCAGCAGGGCCAGTTCGGCCGCATAGCGGCGGCGCACCCGCTGCACATAGCGACTGTGTTCAGCAAGAACGTGAAACGTTTGGCTCATGACCCTGTGCTAGATTGCCTGCCGGCCGGTTCTCCACGTGCCTCAAGACAACGTGTCCTGACATCTTCTCGGCCGCCCTCCACCATTGCTCCCGCGCCGCTGGCTGGCCTTTGCGCCTGTGCTGGCGCGCTTTGCGCTGGGCGCTGCTGCTGCTGGCCCTGCTGTGGGGGCTGGGCGTGGTGGCGTTGGTCTGTATTGCACTGGGGCCATTCTCCCGCACGCCAATGACTGGCGGCCCTGGCTCGGAAAAGGAAGCCTCAAAGACTCTGGGGCTGCCGCTGCGCATCGGACCGCATCGCCGTCGAATCCGGGGGCTGGATGCCCCGCATGGAACTCGGCGACGTGCGCGTGCTGGACGCCAACGGCCGCACCGGCGCTGCGCCTGCCGAGGGTGGCGGCCGTGCTGTCGGCGCAGTCGCTGCTCGTGCTGGAGCCGCGCTTCTCGCAGTTGCGCGTCGATGCGCCCGAGCTCGTCATCCGGCGCGACGCCACGGGCCGCATCTTCATCGCCGGGCTGGACCTGAGCGAGGCCGACAAGACCGACGCCGGCACCACCGAGGCCGGCATGGACTGGCTGTTCAGCCAGCCCGAGCTGGCCATCGTCAACGGCCGCGTGCGCTGGGTCGGACGAGAAAGCGCGCCGACGCCCGGCCGCTGGAGCTGTCGGACCTGAACTTCATCCTGCGCAACGGCCTGCGCCGCCATGCATTGCGGCTGGACGCCACCCCGCCGGCGGACTGGGGCCAGCGCTTCAGTCTGCGCGGCAAGTTCACGCAGAGCCTGCTGAAGCGGCCGGGCGGAGTTCCAGCACTGGAGCGGCGAGCTGTATGCCGAGCTGCCGCGGGCCGACCTGCGCGAGCTGCGCCGCCACGTGGACCTGCCCTTCCAGCTCAGCGAGGGCGACGGCGCCGTGCGGGCCTGGGGCCAGATCCGCGAGGGCCGGCCGGTGGGCGCCACGCTCGACCTGGCGCTGCGTGCGGTGCGGCTGAAGCTGCTGGAATCCGCCCCCGAGCCTCGGA